TAAATTTGTAATTTTTTTGGATATTTCCCCCATTTGCGGGGAACGAGGGAATTTTTTTCAATTTTTAAGGGTAATGTCTTCAACTAGATACGATTTGTGATCTTTTGACGTATTTTTGAAAGAAATCGGTCCAGTGAGAGCTGAGAAAAAGTGGCAACAGACATAAAAAAAAAAAAAAACCCATCATGGTAAAATTAATACCTTCTCAGCTTCGTATCGAAGCTAAAAAATAGTAATAAAAACATTTTTGAGACATTTTAACAAAAAATGGGCTTGTTAAAGTTTATTTTTATTTTATTTTTCGATAGAACGTAATAATTTTATTTGTGATTTTGGGCGTGATTACATAGACGACCCTTTAGAATTGAATTATTAATAATTTTAGGTATCAAAAAGTTAGAAAATTGACTATATTATTAAAAATTGCCAACCTAGAGTTTGAATAAGCAATATAATATTATAACTAAATAATCGAATACGAATATATATACAATCAAAAGTTTTATTTGAACTATATAATTATTAATGCTCTATTTCACGGAAAAATTGATACGTACTTTTAGAAAAATGAAATGAAATAATGATATTCGTGTATTTTCTGTTTTATTGAGAGATTTGTAAAATTTTTATATTATTCCTCACTGCTATATAAATACAAAACCTACTTAGTTCGTTCTATAATTTGTAAATTTTAGAATCCTAAAAATATATTTTTTTAAAGTTGATCAGTTCTTTATTACTGTCATGATGCCTTTGTCAGATGAGTATTTTTACAATATTAATAAATTCTCAAAAACAATAAATATATTAGCCGGAATGCCTTTATTCGTTGAAAAAACAAACAAATATTATCAATATTATTGTTATATAGTAGATATTANTAAATATTATCAATATTATGGATTTATAGTAGATGTTTTTTTATTTTTTGGGTTTATTGCTACTACGAGTAGTGTTTTTTATTCGGACGAAATATTTGAAAAAATAAAATCTATTGCAATTGGAGCCTCGTCTTTTGTTGGATTGTTGAATTCGATGTATCAAAGATATAATTACAAACGCAATCAACACATAATGAATGATTTACAATGTATCTCAGTGAATTTTCAAAATGATCAGCCTATTGAATGTTTTGTAAAGAAGATGAAAAGTGATATTTGGTTAAGTATAATAAAAATCGAAATAAAAATCTTCTAGAAACTAATTCTTAAATTAGTGGTATGAATTAAATACTCATGTGTATTTAGTTTACATAGGTATTTGATTTAAACTGTTTATACCAATTTATTTATTTTGAAAAATAAATTGTAGGTTGACAAATAAGTTACTTTCGTTAGGAGCATTAGTTACAGCACTTTCATCTGTTGTATTTCCTTTCTGGACCACAATTGTACCACAAGATGGAATAAAAAATCTTATTTCTGTGCAGATGAAAATACCATTTATTGATATTAATGAAGTATCGGAGTATTGGTTAAAGTCTATTTTATTAACGTTATTTATATTATATGCAAATCTGAAAATTGTTGCTATTCATTGTTTTTATATTGGTGCATTATCACAGATAAAATGTGGATTTATTCATCTGAGAAAAAATTTATCTTATGCTATTGAGTGTAAAAATGATCTATCTCTGTTTTATGGATGTATTAAAAGCCATCAAAATATTATAAGGTGTGTAGAGTAAATTTTACTATAATATTAATGTTTCTCAATTTTTATCGATTTTTTTTTTGGAGCCAATTAAGGGCAATAGCGGCCTACCCCGAAGAAAGATATTTTTTAACCATTGATACTCCGGGACAGTTAGGTTATCCGTCGTTGAAGATAAGAATGGCCAATTACCAAACTGATCTCTCGCTCGGCAAATGAAGCCACCCGTGACTGAGTTTTGAACCTGAGACAGTGCGCATTAAGCACTGCCGTGTTACTGACTTCGGCACACCGTCCTGTTAATTTACCTTTATTATGATTATTTTTTGGAAATGTTCTGTGCTGTATTCATAGACATAAAGGCGGCAAGAGAGGTTAACTATCCATCCAAATATTTGATTGAGGGAATAATAGTATCGTTTTAATCCCTTTATAAGTTACTTTACTATCAAATTATTTTAAAGCTAATTTATAAATTATGTGTTTTTGTAATAAGTATTATGTCTTTAGTCATAATGTGATCTAAGCTTACATATACGAGTTAAGAATATTATTGTGTTAATGATTACCAGAGTCCTTTACAGTGTAACTAGAATGAAAATAACTTGATATACCTCTAAAATTAAAAAATTATCTAAAATAAGCCCAACAAAAATATATATCCTCGCCTTGCTCGAAATTTTTAATTTAGCCATAAGAGAATAGATCTATTAACTATTATTTCAGCCATCATCAGGTTCAATTTCCTAATATAATAAATCTAGTAATTAGTGTCTAATACGACACTAATGTCTATGGATCAATTAAATATTTTCATGAGAAGTAGTATTTGTATACATCTTTCATTAGACATACTGTTTTTATAATTCGGACCATTTCCCTATATACGAGGGGGGTTCAAATCTAAAAAATGCATGTAGAAAGTAGAACATTTTCAATTTAACTTTTGAAAGTGTTCCGGAAAGTCTGACACTTTTATATATATCTTAAATTAAAGCTAATGTAATATACTTTATAATGGTAAAAAAAAATGTTGGACTTTATTTTATCTTCATGGTGAAAACAGACATCAAAGTTAATAAAAAAAACCTAGCACAGGGGGGGTCGCGGCATGGTTGGATCAAGTATAATAATATCTGACAGTGATTAAAATCACTATCAAAAAAAAAAACGCTTCGATGCAAATCTTTAGATAGTGTTTAATTTTAAAAAATTGGTGGATTATTCCAAAAGCTACATGATCTGCTAGTTCCTTATTAATATCCTGATTAAGATAAAGTATGTTAAATGAAAAAGGGAATATTAAAAAATATTATTTCTCATAAAAAAATTATGTTGATCCATACACATTTTAATAAGTTATAGCATTATAATGTTAAAATGTAAAAAATAAAATAGAGAATTTTCACACAATAATAGCATTCGGTAGCCATTTTCCCCATGAAGACAAAATAAAGTCCGAAATATTTTTTTGAGAATCAATATAAAAAAAAAATTTGGTTTTCCTTTTTTTTTTGTGTCTGTTACTACTTTTTTTCAGCTCTCACCGAACCGATTTCTTTCAATGTTACGTCAAAAAATCACAAATCGTTTCTAGTCGAAGAAATTACCCTCAAAAATTGAAAAAATTTCCCTCGTTCCCCGTAAATAGGAAAAACCTCCAAAAAAATTACAAATTTAAAAATCGCTAATTTTCGAAATTTTTTTTTCTTAAAACTGCCATAACTTTTTCAATAATGAACAAATCAATATAATTTTATTTTATAGATGCATGATTTCTTTACCTATCATTTGGTATATTTTTTTTATATATATGACTTTTTACCTGCTTACAAGGGGGGATTCAAAATGACAACTTTTTCACAAAAAAATTACTTTTTCAACTTAAATTTTGAAAGTTTTCGGGAAAGTCTGACACTTTTATATATATTTTAAATTAAAGCTAATATTATGTACTTTATTTGCAACAAAAAAAATTCGGACTGTATTCAACTAGCAGATCATGTAGCTTTTGGAATAATCCACCAATATTAAAATTAAACACTATATAAAGAATTGCATCGAAGCGTTTTTTTTTTATAGTGATTTTAATCTGTCAGATATCATTATACTTGATCCAACTGTGCCGCGACCCCCCTGTGCTGGGTTTTTTTTTGTATAGATGCGTGATGTCTTAGCCTTTTATTAGGTATATATTTTTTATAAATCTGACCCTTTACCTGCCCACGGGGGGGGATTTAAAATGACAACTTTTTCACAAAAAATTAATCTTTTCAACTTAACTTTTGAAAGTGTTAAGTGTTAAACCCAACCGGAAAATCTGACACTTTTATAAATATCTTAAATTAAAGCTAATGTAATATAATTTATTATAGAAAAAAAAAATTTCAGACTTTATTTTGTCTTCATGGTGAAAAGGACTACAAATGCTATTATTGTGTGAAAATTCTCGATTTTATTTTTTACATTTTACATCAATACAATTTTTATGAGAAATAATATTTATATCCCTCTTTTATTTGACATACTTTATCTTAATTAGGATATAAATAAAGAAATAGCAGATCATGTAGCTTTTGGAATAATTAACCAATTTTTTAAAACTAAACACTATCTAAAGATTTGCATCGAAGCGTTTTTTTTTGATAGTGATTTTAATCACTGTCAGATATCATTATACTTGATCCATCTATACCACGTCACCACTGTGCCGTGACCCCCCTGTGCTGGGTTTTTTTATTAGATTTCTAAAAAATGTCAATCGAAAATAGGATTTAAGTAATAATAGTTTAAATATTGTTTTTAATAACTTTTTCATTCTTAATACTAATTTTAATTAGAATTTTATTTTCTAGAGTTGGGAATAATATTTGCAATACTTATTCGCCAGTGTTTTCTTTATTTTTGGCATTTTTTATAGTTGAAAATACTTCAATTATGGTCATGGTCATTTGTGTAAGTTATTTATTTTTAATATTTTTAACCTTAATGATAAGCTTAGAAGACAATAATTTTAGCACGACTTTATTTATTTATTATTTTTTTTTGTGTCTCTCATTACAACACGTCCAAATATCATAAATTGTATTTAATTTAAGATATTAACTCCAAAAACTGAAAAATTTCTCTCTTTCATTGTAATTGAGAGCACTCAGAAAAGCATCATATTTATAATTGATTGACGTTTTTATCAAAATAACTTTTTTTATTTATACCTTAGATTCCCCTTGTTCATTCGGTACAAATTTTTGGAAAATATGATCTTCTAAGGACGCACAGGAACTGAGAGTATCAACCTTCCCTTAAAATGTTAATCTATTCAACTTAAATTTTGAAAATATTTCGAAAACTCTTTTGACTTTATATAAAATAATATTTAATTTGCTATTAATTATTATAAGTTAAAAAGAACACACTAAATCCCGTCACCTTGTCTTCTATAGATAAACACTCTTTAAAATTAAAAAAAACCAATTTTTTTAAAATTAACTTGCTTACATAATTGGTCAAATACTATAGTTCTATATGAGCAAATGGTTCAGACCCCATTTTACTTCCTTTTACATATAAAATTGTAAAAATTATTCAAGTGTAAGTTATAAAAAATCCAGCACAGGGGGGTCGCGTCACAGTGTTGACGTGCATAGATCGATCAAGTATAATGATATCTGACAGTGATTAAAATCACTATAAAAAAAAACGCTTCGATGCAAATCTTTAGATAGTGTTTAATTAAAAAAAATTGGTGGATTATTTCAAAAGCTACATGATCTCCTATTTCCTTATTTATATCCTGATTAAGATAAAGTATGTCGAATAAAAAAGGAATTATTAAAAAATATTATTTCTCATAAAAAAAAAAATTTGGCTTTCCTTTTTTTTTTGTGTCTGTTAAATTAAAGCTAATATAATGCACTTTATTGTGGAAAAAAAAATGTCGGACATTATTTTTTCTTCATGATGAAAATGCCTCCCAAATGCTATTTTTGAGTGAAAATTTTCGATTTTATATTTTTTACTTCAAAATGCAACAACTTTATAAAAAATGTATGGATTAATACAATTTTTTCATGAGAAGTATTATTTCATTCGATATACTTTATCTTAATCAGGATATAAATAAGGAAATAGCAGATCATGTTGCTTTTGGAATAATCCTTCAATTTTTTAAAGTGAAACACTATCTAAAGATTTGCATCGAAGCGTTTTTTATGATAGTGATTTTAATCACTGCCAGATATCATTATACTTGATCGAACTATGTCACGTCACCACTGTGCTACGACCGCTCTGTGCTGGGTTTTTTTTAATGGAAACATATATAATTAACTTATTTAATTATTATATAATAATCAATTAAGTTAATGACTGGTAAATGATAATTTTTAAAACAATATTTGAAAAATTATTAACATCAATTAACAACAATTATTCAATTAATCAACCAAATGAACAACGCGCATCACCTTTATTTTAATTACATTAAATTCTTAATATTCTCTGAAATACTAGTTCAATAATTGTCATCAAATAGTAATTTTATTAATTAAATCATTTTCTATTTTATAATCTAGTTAAAAATGTATGATTGTTTATAAAAAATACTTATTTATAAAAAAATGAATAAAAACACTAATGAAAAAATTGTCTATCTTATTTTTATCGTAGGTTTAAATGATTCTGTATTATAAAGTAACCTTTTAACTATAAAAACAACATTATTAATCAATAAAAAATCATTTTCCTCTGTACCCCGTTGAAGTTTTATTTTGTAAAAACACAAAAATATAATTACCTATAACACAATTATCTTTTTAGATTCCAAAAATGCCTTTAATGATGAAATTATCTCCTATGTGTCATTTGTGTATGTGTTTGACAACATTATACATATCATGTAATGTAGGATCCAGCTTAGAAGAAGTATGTCTATGGATTTACAAAATAATTATATTTTTGAAACTATAGCCGAAACCTTAAATTAACAATATATATAATTTGTTAGGAGTCAACTAAAATTGGAAAAGAACCTTTTGGAATTTATATTCTTAACCCGTCAATTTTAACTGTAAAACAAAATTTGCTGATTTTATTATTAGGGTCGTATACACCACTCAGATGTAAATGCATATTTCAACCTTCAGTATGCATGAACAATGAAACGTATGCAAGGGTATGTATACATTTTTTTTANCTGAAATATTTAATAAAATATAATGTGACATTGGATAGTTGGGATAATTATAGATGATATTTGATAGTAATTAAAATCGCTATTATAAGAAACGCTTCCATGCAAATCTGTAGATCTAAGATCAAAATCTTAAAAACCAAATAAGAATTTAGTTGATTATTTTAAAAACAAAATGAACTCCTATTTTCTTTTTGTTTAAATATTTTAAAAATAATTCGTGCAAAATTTCGATTCAAAATGTAATTTTTAAACAATTTTTTTGGTTTTTTTGAGATGATATTTATGAAAGGTTATAATTACAAGAAAGTTGAAATTTTTACCATAACATTTTTTTATCTCAATTTACAAGTTTGTTATTGAAATCAATAATAGAATATTTTTTGAGAATTTAAAAATTGGTTTTGTTTATGGTAATATGCAGTCAGAAAATTTTATAATAACTATTTATAGTAAATTTATGATAAACATTTAAAATTTCGTTTAAGTCACTATTTTTTTTTTGCATTTTTATCGTAATGAATCATTTAAATAGAAATCATAGTAATCATTTCTATGTAACTTTTGGTGTTTACAAAGATTCTACAATTAAAATATTCTTAATTTAATTTTTTTATTATTTATAAATAATTTAAAATATGTAGGTTAAAATGAAATTAACAACACATCAGCAGACGAAATCATAGCAAAACTAGGATAGGTCCAACAAAGGTATTAATATTTTGGATACTTTTCGGATAATAATCAAAAAATTTGACGAAGCGGGTTTACCACAAAAATAATACTACAAAACTGTTAAACGTAAATTAAGATAGCGCTAAGAATTTTTTACCGATTTAAAACACTATAGATTAATAATTGTATTTCAAACCGTTAAGTCTTCTTCTTCTTCTTCTTTGCCTTAATCTCAATTACTTGTGGTCGGCCACCCTTAATCTAATTTAATCTGAATCCATTTGACACGATCTCCACATCATCTACGCTCACATTAGCTGTCCTCTTATCACATTCAATAGCATCCCCCATCTCTTTTTTGGTCTTCCTCTATCTCATTAGACGTCTAATGTATGAATAAGATGTAATTACAAAGAAGGGTCACTACCTAGCACTTGTACAGACACGCGTATACGAATTTCTGGCGAGTCACAAATATCGTATTTCTTTATAAAAATATTTTAGTTTATTCTCGATGATCTATCTTATTCTAATTGTTTATTACTAAAAGTTCTTCAGTAAAGGATTTATTATAGACTAATTATATAAATAAATGTTTTCAGTTACCTTTGACTATCCTGAAAAGACAGTTATTCTCTTGAGATGAATGATGTAGTTGATTTTTTGTTTTTAATTAATTTTTTTATGTATAAATACTTGCTTTCTAATTATTAATATCTCAAAAAAGAGCTAATATAAAAATTCTACAGATTTGAAATCAGCGTAAAAATTTGATTTAGTTTTTAGCCAAGTATATACAGGGTGTAAATCTTTCGAACCATAGTAATGTCTGGACGAGTATGCTGGTAAAGTGTAAAATAGGACCTCGTTTTTTTTTTTTTTTTTTTTTTCCAAAATTGGAGGAATTTTGGAATAACCCCCCCGAATTTCTCTAAAATTAAAAATAAATCATACCACAATATTTCCCGCGAAATTCTCATACAAATTGAGTGGTCACTCGATTTTTTGTAACTTTTGCGCCCTCCCCTGAACTTTGGGTTCAAAGTTGGAAAAAAATTTCACATTAGTGTGACCCATCAATTTGTATTGAAATTTCAATGGGAGTCCTGTGATGTAGTTTATTTTTAGTTTAATTGATTAAATAATAAGAAATACCAAAAAACCCACAAATAATGTGATATTTTTTTAATTTCATGAGTCTATTTCGTCTTTTATTATTTATTCAAACCGATTATAATTTTTATCATTGAAACTGTTATAAAATTATAAAATTTTTTCTTTTTGTATCGTATTTTGTATTCTTTTTTTATCAATTTGTATCGTCATTTTACAGGGAGTCCTGTGATGTAGTTTATTTTTAGTATAAACGATTAAATAACAAGAAAAACCGAAAAAACTTACAAATATGTAATATTTATGCATTTTTATTGCACAAAAAAAGAAGCTATATTTTAAAGGTTATCTAATATTATGTGCAACTTAATAAGTGACTATTCAATAGTGAACAGTATTTTTCGAACATTTAAATAAACATTAACAAGCTCAGTGATGTACCATATTCTCATTATTGATTAATTTCGGAAAAGAGTAGTGTGCCGATTACATTAAAATAATTATTTCTAATTATCCTATTGTAGTAAAGTTAAAAATATTCATTTCAATAGTATAATTGTTTTATTTTCCGGACCTAAAAAGAAAAATTTTTATAATTTTATAACAGTTTCAATGATAAAAATTATAATCGGTTTGAATAAATCATAAAAGACGAAATAGACTCATGAAATTAAAAAAATATCACATTATTTGTGGGTTTTTCGGTATTTCTTATTATTTAATCGATTAAACTAAAAATAAACTACATCACAGGACTCCCATTGAAATTTCAATACAAATTGATGGGTCACACTAATGTGAAATTTTTTTCCAATTTTGAACCCAAAGTTCAGGGGAGGGCGCAAAAGTTACAAAAAATCGAGTGACCACTCAATTTGTATGAGAATTTCGCGGGAAATATTGTGGTATGATTTATTTTTAATTTTAGAGAAATTCGGGGGGGTTATTCCAAAATTCCTCCAATTTTGGAAAATAAAAAAAAAAAAACGAGGTCCTATTTTACACTTTACCCGGATACTCGCCCATACATTACTATGGTTCGAAAGATTTACACCCTGTATATATTCTATTATCATTAAAAAATATTTAATTTTAGTGATATGATTTTACTGTGTAATTCAGTATAAAAAACAATGTTCTACTGCTATATTTTTTGCAGATATTTAATTAAAAAAGTTTTTTTGAAATTGCCATTTTTTAAAGTAGCATAATTTTAAGATATTCTAATTTCTAAAATTAAGGGGTTTTACCCCAATATTTGGTGATTATAAGTTCAACTAGAATATAATCGTGTATTTTTGGCGTATAAATCATTTAAGTTCAGTGAGAGTTGAGAATTTTTATGGACAGGTATAAAAAAAAAACACATCAAGGTAAAATTCAAAAAATTAAAAACGTATGGAATAACTGATTAATTGTTAATTTTATTTAGTTCTTACTTAGAGAATAGATTCCAACAGGTGAAAATTAATGGTTTTCTATCAAATAAAATACCAGTGCCTTCAGGTGTTCCTTGAGGAACACCTGAATTTATCACCATTGTTGTTTGCATTATTTATTCTGGACATAGGTGCATGCTTTAAATACTGTAAGAACCAACTATTTGCTGATGATTTGAAAATGTATGCAAATGTTATAACAATTATTGATTAGTATAAAATTCAAGAAGATCTAAACAGATTTTGTGATTGGTGCCACTCAAATGGGTTAAAACTGAACATCACAAAATGTTTCAAAATATCTTTTTCCCGTTCAAGAACGAAATTAATTAATGACTATCATCTCTTTGATAATCAAATTGAGGATATTAGTACCATTAGTGATCTTGGGGTAGTTTTTAAAACCAACTTATCATTTCAGCCACACATTGATCATATCTGTGTGAAGTCCCTAAGAACTTTAGGGTTCTTAATTAGGAATACCAAAGAATTCAAGAACGAACAGTGTCTAAAAACTTTGTATACTTCTTTAGTTAGACCTACGTTGAAATATTGCTCAATTATTTGGAATCCTTCACAAGTCGGATTGATAGAATCGCTTGAGCGTATACAAAGAAGATTTTTACGTTTAATCGCTTATAAGAGACGTATGATTTCTATTAATAACCCTTCCGAGTCAATATCACTTAATTCTGTACAGGCTTCCCTTAACTTAGATTTCCTTGTTAATAGGCGAAAATATACAGACGTCTGCTTTCTTTCTAAATTAGTAAATGGTGTTATATTCTGTCCAGAACTATTACAATCCATAAACTTTCATGTTCCTAAATTTAATTCACGTTCTTGTCCCACATTTGAAATCCCTTTTCATCGAACATCTTACGGTTTTAATAATCCTGTTGATCGAATAGCCAGAGAGTGCAATTGTTGATATTATTAAACAACACACTGGATACAGTAATATTATTTAAGATAACAGTTTAATGTATTTTTACTTATGTTAGTATAGTACAAGGACACATTCCTTTTACGATTATGTTGTTTTACTCAATGCAGCTTATTGTATACATGTTTACAGTTTAGTCGTAGTTTCACCGTCTATCGAGTAAAGTGACCCGTTGCCGTTGTACATCTCTTATATTATAAGTTTTGACATTTTATATTAAATACTATTATATTACGAATAATTTCTAAATCTTTTAATTACATAACCTATTTCATTCAACAGCAATAAATTAAAATTTGATTTGTTTATTATGAATGATTTGTATTCCTTAAAACACTGATTTTAGTAGCCTGATGCATATCATTAAATCACCTTTTTTTTTGTAAATTTATTTTAATATTATGTACTTAATTAATACTATTATTGTAACATACTTGTATCTTATTTCAACAATGTTTTATTGTCACTGTACTTGAGCCCACCTGGGAGTTTACACCAAATAAAAAATAAATAAATAAATTATGTAAAGTTGTATATTTACAAAAAAAGTATTATTTTGTCCAAGAACTTTGTGAAATTATAAATTTTGTTAAATTAATCTAAACATACCAACTACCAGTACAAATTTGATTAATTGACTTAATTGATTTTTTCTATTTATATAAATTAAAATAAATCATAATATGATTTATTTAATTTAATTTTTTATTCTTTAATATATATTATATTTTTAAAGAATAAAATAAATTATATAAAGTGGTATTATATAATTGTGCAATTATAAATTTTGTTAAATTAATCTAAATATAGTAACAACGAGTACAAATTTGAATTAATTGACTTAAAAACTTAGTAATGTATATTACCGAGGTTATAG